AAGGAAAGGGTGATAGACATGTCTCAGGAGGAACAGGCGGCCTGGGAAGAGGATCAGCTCAACTCAATTGTGGACTTCTCAACGTGTCGTATAGATCCGGCGCCCTTTCAATTGGTTGAGAAAACAACTTTACTTAAAGTCTACTCAATATTCTCGATGTTAGGCCTAAATCACGCTTACGTCACATCAATCGGACGATTAGTCGGAGTTGTGGCCCTTAAAGATGTATGAATTATCCATAAGTTAACTAATTTATTATAAAATTGACAATCAATTTGTTGATAACAATCAATAGTTGCGAATAGCAATCGAGCAAATGAACCAGGGTATTTTGGTACCACAGAGTACGACAACGCCGTCCATTATAATCAATGCATCGGATTCTGATCTGCACTACGAGGACACCATCACATCTGTGGCCACAAACGACTCAGAAATGACTCGACAAAGTGATAAAGAAATTGAGACAAATAATGTTTAATCAATTGAATTATCAACAAATTATATGATTAAATATACTCCGAATTTATTAATCATTTGCCAAATGTGTTAACAACTGAATGAGTGCTCAAAGTTTGCATCTTTGAAAAACTGTGTTATCGACAAAATGCTAAATACATTTTTCTTTCAGTATCTTGTAATAAGTTATAATATAAATATTTTATAAGTATTAGTCGTTTAATTAAATTTTGTTAAAGCGATTAAGTTTTTATAGTTATAACAAGTGAATTGTTTTTAGTTTGTGTGAAATTTATTTATTTATTTACAATAAAAATAATTGCAATTCATATATCATAAAACTATTACCAATAGTAATAGTTATATTGTATTTGTTGTAAATAAGTTATGCTTATTAAGTACAGTATATAATGTAACAATTCCTTGAGTGATATTTATTGTCAGTGAATATATCAAATATATTTACAGTTAAATTATTTCTTATCGTAAGTTAAGGTTTTATGACTCGATTCTTAATAAATCTCTTAACTATTTTATGAAACAGGAAAAACGAGATCACTATTATTGCAGGTTTGCAATAATTCTACAAATATATAAAGTGATTGTAGAACTTTTATATAATACTCAATTATAAAGTAATCAATACATTAGACACATAATATTCTTATAATATTCTTAAGTCAATAAATAAGACTAAAATAAATTAATTATTTCCGAAAGTTTCTTAAATTCCTTTTAACTTATGTCTGAGAAAATACTTTATGATTCAATTTGTTTATGCATTCAAAGGCTTAGATTCAGGGGAAGAGTCACTCTTTTTTCGCGGAAGTTCTCTGGAATTCATTTGTTCGATCGCTTTCCGGATCTGAAATCATTAGTATTTTAATAATTCGTTAATAATTCTAAATGATTTGTTATATAACTATTTTTATTTTATTTCCGGTTCTATCAAATAAAACAAAATATTAACTTAACTATAGTAATCATATAGAAAATTTCATTACTTTTATATTTATATAATACTATTAATGAGAGGAAGTAATTTAAGATTTAGCGTAAATACCTCTTTGAGAGCCACAACACCGATAAGACGTCCTAAAACGGTCACAAAAGCCAATTGAAGGCCCAATAAGGAGAACATATTGTGCGCCTTAAACACCAATTTAATGAAATTTAATACAAATAAAAAGTTTTAAAAATAGTAACCTTCATCAAAGAAGTTCCCTCCACTAATTGAAAGGGCGCCGGATCTATAGGACAAGCGGTAAAGTCAACTAATTTTTCCAATTGATTCTCTTCCCAAACGTGTTTCTATAGAATTGC